TCGTAAATTAAAGCTGCTCAATTCTGAGGGCAAAATGAAGATAGAAAAGATCCACCAATCACCTCCTGAAAGAAACCCCACAAGGAAAAGTCCTGGGAACATAGCAAAAATCCAGAGCCCCTACATTCAAAAAAATAAAGGCATCTATGATGGGGTATGGGCCCAAGCCGAGACCTTAGCCCCTAGCCCAAAAAAGAATTTGGCTCCCATTTGTCTATAGGCCCCAGAAAACCCTTAAACTTTTTGACTTCACTCTGGTCTCAGATGGTTACCTGAGGCTATATTCCACTCTGGCTTTTCCTTATGGACTCTCCTTATCTTCCTTTGAAAGCCCTAGTCCCACCTTTGATCCTCTACCTTCCAGTTCCCTTCATTATCTATTCCATCTATCTATCCCCACTGTCTATTCAGTCTTAGACATTCCAATCAGAATTCTTCCTAAGTCACCCAGACCCTCTTTCCAGCCCCTCCTCTGGTCACCCAAAATTACTTGAGTGTATATAAGATCCACCCTGGCCCCCATTTAAATGCTGAGACTTTCTCATGCCAGCTCATCTTTATGGGCGTCACCTGGCCTGTATGATTCATCTCTAATAAGCTATTTTCTCTGGATGAAAGAAGATTTGGGTTGAATTCATTTAGGCAGGGCCCTCATGTCTTGATCTCGGGGTCCCAGCACCCCTAAACCTCTAGACCACATCATCTAGAAAGAAGCAGTTCAAGTACCAGTCGTCTCATTCAATAAGACCTGTTGCCTTTTACTCAAGAAAAGGACATTTGGAAATACAGTATTCCAGAAGGCAAAATATAAAGACTTACAGTCAAGCATAATGCGTCTGCAAAGCTAAGGATGGGGGTGGGGGGGGCAGAATGGATCTTTAATGGAATAACTTTTCAGGCTTTTCTGGTGAAAAGAACAGCTGAGTAGGAACTTTGAATTACAACATAAGAGTTAAGAGAAACCTAAAAAGGCAATTTGAACTACTGGAAGGTTCTGTTTGATGACATTAGCATTCATGCAGAGAGAGAAGAATTTCTACAAGTGTCTTTAGAACCATAATATCTCTGAAGGGTACTGGGGGATCCTTCCTTTGAAGAGGACCAGTGATAACAAGGAGTGATGTCTTGACTTGCAAATGAATTGGATTTAAGTGAGGCAGAGTTGCACAAAATTGTTAGCCTCGGTCTCTTCCAGAGTCATCGAAGTCCAGTGGCAAGACAAAAGTCAAGACTACTGGTGATGACCTAGGATGCAGTGGATGACCTTGGTGTCTGACCAAGCTCTGATGAGTTAAATAAGAAAAAACGGGGACCTGGGAGGCAGGGTGGGTCAGGGATTCTGTTCTGCATGTTTTAAGAGAGGAAAAAAGGGAGGGTAAAAGGAATACATTAATGTAGAAAAAAGGAAGAATGGGGTGGAACTTGTTATTTCTTATAACTGGCATCTGTGAGAAGAGTATATAAACCTGTGGAAAGGGGTGGTGGGACCAGGCGGTGAATCTTTTGTCTGAAATAGATAGAGGAGGGTTGAATACACATCTATTTTGGTGTAGAAATACATCTAGCGGCACAGGAAAACTAGTAGGGGTTGCTGGGGGGGGGGTATTAAAAGAGAAAAAGAAGGAAAGAACTGGAATCTAAGGGGGAGGGTTCCCCTCAGTTGAAGAATGGCTGAATAATTGTGGCATATAAATACAATGGGCTATAGTAGCATAAGAAATGATAAAAGATAAATGTAGAAAATATTAAAGTATGAATTTATTCAGAGAAAAGAGTATGATTAGAAGAACAATTTATACTATAATAACATTGTAAAGAAGGCTTTTAAAAGCAGTTATCAACTGTGTCTCCAGGGGACCCGTGATGAAGCAGGTTGCCCCCTCCCTGACAGAGAGGCAAGGGACTCGGGCTCTGAAAAGAGATATATTCTTGGACATGTGCACTGTGTAGATTTGTTTTTAATTATGCTTAATTTGTTACTGACCTTTTTTTCCCCCTCCCTCTGTTTTTAGTTGGGGATGGGAATTATTAGCAGTAGCAATGTAAAAGAAAAAGAATGTCATTGAAACATTAAAAAAACACAAAAGAGATCAGAATGAAGAGGTCTAGAGGTTTGGGGGTGCTGGAACCCCAAGATGGCGACGCGGGCCCTGTCTGACTGAATTCAACTCAATTCTTCCAGCCAGAGAAAAAGTGTATTAGCAATAAATCATATAGGCCAGGAAAAGCTCAGCCTTTGGGGCATGAGAGATTCTCAGTGTTAGAATAGGGGCCAGGGTGGATCTTATATACACTTAAAGTAACTTTGGGTGGGTAGGGAAGGATGCTGGGGAAACAGTCTAGGTGAGAGGTCTGATTGGAGGGTCTAAGAGATTGAATAGACAATGGGAATAGATAATGAAGAAACTGGAAGGAAGAAGTTTGAAAGGCATGAGATCAAAAGGTAGAGCTAGGGCTTTCAAAGGGATATAAGGTGAGCCAATAAGGAACCTAAAAGTTTAAGGGTTTTCTGGGATTTGTAGACAAATGGGAGCCAAATTCTTTTTAGGGCAAGGGGCAAAGGCACATCAGAATAAGATCAAAAGGTAGGGCTAAGGCTTTCAAAGGGAGATAGGGGCTGGGACCTGTAGACAAATGGGAGTCAGATTCCCTTTGGGACAAGGGACTAAGATCTCAACTTGGGCCCATACCCCATCAGTGCCACGTGTAGAGTACATGCTTAGTACCTTATTTCACCAGTTAATGTAGCCATCACATAATCACCACACCCTGGGGTTTTTTGTTTGTTTGTTTTGGGTTGTTTTTTTTTTTCCTTAGTCCAAAAATTGGTTTGTAACCTATCATTTTGTAGTTGTCACATGGTATAATTCTGTTCATTATGCCCCTTAAAAGGTAGACTGAGCAGCAGTGTATTCACCAGTGGCATATGGATATGCATTTATGTCTCCTGCATTGTGAGCCTCAAGCCTAGAATTCTCAGCAAACACATTGTCAGTATATTTGCAAAAGCTGACTTGTGTGGTTTTGTTTAGAGCGCTGCAGTACTGTGAGGTGTATATTCTTGGGGTGCTGGGACTCCAAAATCATGATACGGCGGGTCATGCCCAAATGAATTTGACCCAAATCTTCTTTCAGCCAAAGACAAAGTTTTATCAGAGATGGGCCATACAGGCCAGACTCTTAAGGAATGTGAACATTAGTGACGACCATAAGGACAAGCGGGCATGAGGAAATCCCAGCTTTTAAATGGGGTCCAGGATGAATCTTATGTACTGCCAAGTAATTTTGAGGTGTTGAGAGGAGGGGCTGGGAAGAGGATCTGGGTGACTGGGGGAGGAGTTTAGAGAGAATGGGAGTGTCTAGGAGGTTGCCAGGAATAGACAATGAAGGGAACTGTAAGAAAGAGGTAATATGGGATCTGGATAAGATCAAAGGTGGGAAATATACTGGGATCAAAGATTAAGCTTCATTAGGGTTTCAAAGGGAGATTGGGAGAGCCAGTCCCTCAGAATAAGAATAAGAGACAAGGAAGGGCCAGTTGAGTGGAGTATAACCTCAGGCAACCATTTGAAACCAGAGTGAAGTCAAAGAAAGTTTAAGGGTTTTCTTGGGCCAGTAGACAAATGGGACCCAAATTCTTTTGGGGACGAGGGACAAAAGTCTCAGCTTGGGCCCATACCCCATCAGTACTGATGGTATTGTCACTTAACCCAATGAAGAGCTGTAGGCGCAAGGGGAGCAGGCAGGCAGGCGGGCGAAGCTGCCATGAGAAAGTCGTGATATGGTAAGACTTGTATCTTCCTGAGCTAGCTAAACTGTACAGTTTGTCTGCCAGCGATACATTAACGTGTGAAGATTTCTTTCTGATTATGGGTAAATATAAAAACTATTCTGTGAGCTTCAAGCTGAAAGTGATTGTTTTCAGTGAGTGAAAAGTTGGTATGAGATTAGCAGAAACTGAAAGACAAGTAATAGTGGTACTTTTTAAAAAAAATCTTCACATAATGGTCACACCCCACTTTGGCAAAAATTTGTCATGAAGTCTGTGACAATTATGTGGCGAAATACGGTAATTTTGTTGACTAAGCCACAGAATGGGCAAAAAGGAATAAGACCCTAACACTGGGAAATGGTGGTGGTTTCTGGAATGGCAAAGGTCCAGGTCCCAGTTTAGCGTTCTTCCCAAAGCCCTCAGTTCGGTTGTGTCATATGGTGTTGCTTTGTGTTCAAATTGCTAATTGCTATGGGAGACCACCATCTTACAGGATTAGTTCATAGTTCAAAATGATTAGTTTTATGGTCTGAAGTTAGATCACTCTCTCCTGGTTATTCTTGTTCTGATAACTCTTGAGTATTACATATCCTTTTGGAACTTCCTATAGTGTGTGTATTACTTTCTACCTTTTGCTAATTATTTCTGTTTAAGATATTTTGTAATAAGCAAGGTAGAGGAGCTACTTACTTTAAAAGTTTCGTTCTATTTTTAAATCGGGAGGGGAAGGAAGACTACCAACCAATGGTGTGATAACCTTGTTGAAGGCATTTCCTCACATATATTTCTCTTTCTTTCTTTCTTTCTTTCTTTCTTTCTTTCTTTCTTTCTTTCTTTTTCTTTCTTAATTTCTTTCTTTCTTTCTTTCTTGTACTATTTTATTTTTCCTCATTACATGTACATTCATTTTAAAAAATTTTTTGAGTTCCAAGTTTTCTTCCTCCCCCATTCCCCCCCCCAAGATGGTAAGCAATTTGATATAGGTTATATATGCCTCACATAGATTTCAAAGTATCTTTGGGGTGACTAGAAGGAGGAGAATTTAGGTGCTCAGTGATGTGAAGACTGTGTCCACAAAAACAATACAAAAAAAAAGACAAAGCCATCCTAAAGAACTGAAGAAATATAGTCATGAGGAATAATTTGAATTGCTTGTGTCTCAGCATGCAAAAGGTTGGTAAATAGTTCAATAAGAAGTACTGACACACTTGTCTTTATTTTGTTGTAGCACTCAAGATGGATTTTTTAGTTCTTTTCCTGATTTACTTGGTGTGTGTTCTGACTAGTGTTTTACTGCTGTGCATATATTCCAAAAGGACCCATACCTTGGCAGGAGAAATCCTGACAGATGAATCACAGGTAATAGATCAAACATAGGCATTATGGGAAAACTATATTTTCTGTGTATTTATTAAATGGTTATTATTAATTTCACTAGTTTTTCCCTAAGGCTAAAGAGATTCTATTTCTGTAATTTCATAAATATCAATATGTGGAATATATGTATTCTGTAAAGTTAGTTATGGATTGAAATACCACATACTTGTTTTTCATTACTTTAATATAATTGAATATCTTCCTCTAAAAAAAAAATCAGTGTCTCATAGACTTAAGGAAATAGTATTAGACAATGACTCCTCTGGCTCTGTCTTCAGTCAGTGTTCCCAGATGTCCTCTAACATTGCTCTGCAGAATAAGTCAACAGTCAGATTTTATAAACACAGTGTGTGTGTGTGTGTGTGTGTGTGTGTGTGTGTGTGTAAACACATACAATTAAACCCATGAACAGTATAAGAGCAGGTAGGACAAAAAGTGAAAACCAAGAGGTTCTCTTCATCTTCTCAAGCAGTGGGGAAAAAAAATTAAACTTGCTGCAAACAGAAGCTAGCCCTGGATTCTGCTACTTGTGACTTGTCAAGCCTAAGCTGATAGCCAGTCTGGATTATAAATTTATTTATGAATACTGTACCTTTATACCTCGGCGAAAATCCCATTCCATGAAACTTTCTATGTTAGGGAAAGGACATGTTTATAACTCCTGACTTAATTGATTGAGTAACTTGTAAATGGTTACATAGTATATCATTGTTTTATTGAGAAATAATACCCAGTCTCTCTGCTCTGTTTCATTCCTTGCCCTTGAACCAAAGCAAAAAAAAAGGAGAATTGAACGTATCTGGTATGGTTTTACTGTTCACCAAGACCTGCAGAGAAAAAAGACATTTAATTTAATTTAGAGGTCACAGTTAAAACAGGGACCAAGCAGTTTTGGAATAAATGCTGTACCTTTTATCAGAGATAATGTAAACCAGTCATTAGTAGGACATGCATTGTGAGCTGTTTACGTGTAATGTCATATCTTCCCACATGTTAAGACTTCTACACTAGCAAAATGGAGACTTTTTAGGCTTGTGCTTTTCTTTTTTTTAATGCCATGATGCATTTCACTTCACAGTAGCTGTGCAAAAAACAATATTCTTCTGTAGTTTTACCAAACGCACCATTTATACACAGTTCAGGTTTCTTATTTCAGTTGTGATGCTAGGTTTGTATTTGGTCCTCCCTGCACAATTATGATTAATTGACTATTAAAACAGTGCCTGGAGTAAGGGTATAGCTTGCGACCAAAACAGTTTTTATTCATGTAAAACTGACTGCCTTTATATGAATTGAATCCATAAATCATCAGCACCATGCTGTAACTAAATGAACTAGCTAGGCTATAAGGGGTAGGGAACTAGCATTTATTAACTACCTACTGTTTGCCAGGCATTGTGCTGAGTGCTTTACAGTTATCACATTTGATCCTCACAACAACCTTAGGAGAAAATGCTATTATTATTCCCATTTTATAGTTGGGGAAACTGAGATGGACAAGAGGTTAAGTGACTTGCCCAGGGTCACACCAGCTAGTAAGTGACTGAGGCCAGATTTTAATTCAGTGACTTCAAGCACAATGCTCTGTCTACTGAGCCATCTAGCTGCCTCTGTAACCAGGACATAACATATAACACGCAGAAAGATGGCAGTATCAGGTGTCACTAGATGAGAGAAGTTATGGATAATTCAGTAGTAGAATATTTATCCTCCACCAGCACATAGGAAGAATGTGCTTCTGGTTGTGCTGTTTACCTCAATGTGGTAGAGAGCCATAGCAAACAAACAGTAAAACCTACTGCAGTATAAATTCCAACCAGACTCTTTGATTTCTACTCAGCTAAATTAAGAAATGTATTCCTATCATTCATTTGATAACTAGTTAAGTATTTGAAGAACTGTCGAGTGTATGAGTACCCCAACTCCCAAATGAGTCACAGCTTAAATGACTTTAAGGAGGACTTAATTTCTTTTATCTCTGTTTTTATTCACTTACTTGTTTTTTGTTCTCTTCTGTAATGAATTGTTGTTTGAATGAGTCTACAGTACTAGCATCAAATTCTGGAAGGATCAACTGACAGGAACCAGTAAATTGAAAATGGAAAAGAAGTAGGGAAAGGCATGGCCCCAAAGTGGCAAGCATATGCAGAAGAAATTCAGTGAATCTATTCTTAGAAAGTTAGGTAAAAATAGAGATACAGCACAGAATAGTAGAGAGCAAGGAAGCTTTTCATAAAAAAGAACAAAAACAGTATGTAGGTCTTAAAAGATAAACAGAACTGAGGAGGTTAATAAAGAGTTCATCAGCCATCACTGATGAATAAAAATAACCTTGATATACCTCCATTTTCCATAGATGGAGATGAGAGCAGGTAACAGAATCTGTCATTTTCTTGGTTTCTTTTCTCTGAAAATGCTTCCATGATGCAGAGTTGAGTCATATTGTTGTGGATCAGAACTAAGCAGAGGCGACATGGTATAATGAAAATTATTTTGAATTCAGACAGAGAAAGCTGGGTTTGACTTCTTCCCCTGCAAATTTACTAGGTCTGAGACCTTGGGCAAGTCACGTGACTTCTGTGGGCTTCACTTGTCCTACTTCCCCAACATTTTTCATAGACATCCTCTTCTCTCTACTCATACAGTCAGCATCTTCCTTCAGGCTCTCAATCACCTCTCACCTATACTAGCTTCCTGACTGGTCTCTGTGCCTCAAACCTACCTCCTCTCCAGCTACTCTGCTCAGCAGCCAAACACCCCTTCCTGCCACTCAAGAATCTTCGGTGACTTCCTCATGCTTAGGACAAAATGCAAGCTCTCCAGTTTGAAGTTTTTAAAACTTCATAGTTTGTCTCTAACCTGTCTGGAGAGGTAATCTAGACGTAATTCGCCTTTCTCCCTTTTATGCACTCCAGGTTTCCACCAAACTAATCTATATGCTGTTCCTCTTCTCTCTTTCTGTCTTTGTACAAACTGTTCTACACGCCGACAACCCACTGGTCCCTCGCCTTTGCTTCCTAGCATCCCAGGCTTTCTGCAAGGCTCAATTCAGGTGCTGCTAACTCCAGGAAGCCTTTCCAGATCTCCTAGTTGTACCACAAACTCTTCCAGTCTCTGTGACTTATTCATAATGGTGGTATGGAAGACAACTGGAAGGGTCCACATATTTTCAGGCTCCCAAACATTGAAGCAGAGGACTTTAATAATTGTTCATTATATTAATGATGTATAAGCTTTCTGTCTTTTTTTTAACTCAAATTTTCATTGTGCTAGACTTCTTGTGACCATTTAGAAGACCAGAAATTTTCTACACATGCTTCTTTCAGAGGTTCTCTCTTGTTTCTGATTTCTTCACTTCTCAAGTCTCTACAGTGGTTTTTAATTGATATTAAATTGTTTTTTTGGGAGGGTTGGGCCTGCCATGGAGCCTTCCCAGCAGCTGGGGCTAGGGAGGAAATCCCACGAACAGGTGAGTCAGGACAGGGCTACAGGTGGTGGTAACCCCCCTGCCTGAGTGCTGTGTGGATGAGCAAACAAAAGGGAGATTCTGGTAATGTGTCCATCCTGTCCAGTACCGTCCAGCTGCTGAGACTGTCCAGCTGACCAGTCAGATACTACTTCCTCAACAAAACAAAAGAAAAGCAGTTGGCCCACAGAGCTTCTTGGTAAATGTCTGTTGAATTTAATCTGCATAATTTTATAGCATGCAGAACATCCACTATTGACCTTTATAAGTGGATTTGTTTCTTCAAAATACTATTTAAAAAAATTCATAGCTGCAAAGGGAGATGAAAGTAGGATGCTTTATTCCAAGCTGTAAATCAGAGAATTTACCAGTGAGAAGCTCTCTTGTATAAAAATATCATTCATTTGAGGCTAAATTTTGGGGTTCCTTTTAGAGTCTTTGTGGTATAGTAGATAGAATGCTAACTTGGAAATTAGAAAGATTTGGTTTCAAATCCCATTTCTCAAGTATACTAGCTATGTGACTGGGGAAGTTACTTAGGGAAACTGAGGCATAGAGGGGTTATCTGTGAAACGGGGATAGTCTAGGTTGGTACAAACATTAAATCAGATAACGTAAAATGCTTTACAAACCTTGTGCTGCTATTTGAATATCACTTATTATTTCTCTTTTCTTTACGTTTCAGGTATTTTCACGTTTTATTCCAGGGTGGCTACAAAGAGCTACACAAAAGGCATTTCATCACCTCTTTCATACACGGTATTTACTAAGCGGAGTTTTTATTTATATTTTTTCTGGCTTCATTTATTAGTTATTGTTTTCCATTTGCTTTGGGAAAGTTATTTATACATTTGTGACTTTTTTTTCCAAGGACGTCTCTTAGATGCTGACACTTTCAAGAGCTGCCAGCCAATTTATTTTATGTTTTTTGGTGAGCCAAGAGCTCGTGAACAATTCAGCACAATTCAACAGATTTATTTATTAAATGTCTACGATGTGCTGGATACGGAATCAAATAAGAAAAACAGATGAACTTGGGGTGGAGAGGAAGGAAAAAGTAGGGGTTAGTTCTGTTCTAAGGGCTTTAAGAAGGAAAGAAGAAGGGACGGTAGAAAATATATTAGTGTAGAAAGGAGGAAGAAGGGGTAGAATTTACTTATTCTCATTAATTGGGATCTGTGGAAAGAGCATACAAGCATTGGAGAAGGGGTGGGGAAGGGGATGGACTTCAGATGAATCTTACTCTTATCAGAAGTGAACAAAAGGAGGTTGGACAAATGCACATACAGGTATAGAAATTCATCAGACTCCAAGGGGAAAACAAACAGGGATAGAAAGGAGAAATAAAAAGGTAAGATAATACTCAGGAGGGAAACAAAAACAAACAAACAAAATAACCTTCCTGACTCTGTAGGAGGGAATTTAGAAGGGAAAAAATGAGAAGAGAAAAGAACTGGCATCTAAGGGGATGAATTAGATTATCTCTTAGACAGTTGAGCAACATCAGAACAAATTATGGTATATGAATGTAGTGGAATACTATTGTACCAGGAGAAATAATAAAAAGATGATTTCAGAAAAGACTGGGTAGTATGAATTGAAAAGAGTGAAGTGAACAGAACTAGAAAATGTCATGCAATACTATAAACATTATAAAGAAAAACAGCTTTAATACACTTCGCTGTAATCAATGCAATGACCAACCGTGACAGAATATGTTACTCACTTCCTAACAGAGAAGTGATACACACAGGATGCAGAGATGTAAATTTTGGATATGTCTATAATATTGTTGATTCATTTTGCTTTAATATCTTACTTGTTATGAGAGGGTTTTTTTTTTCTTTTCTTGCTCTTGGTTTTGAGTTGAGGAGGTTAGCAATAGTGATGTTCAAAAAAGAGGACCATTGAAACATTTTTTAAAACGCACAGAAGAGAAGGAGATTCACAATGAAGTTCAGATAAGCAATACAGTTTTGAACATAAGAATCTTATATATTTTAAAAAGCAAACAGTTTGAAATAGAAATTCATGGCATTATATAGAAATCTACTTTTGTGTTCTGTGTGCACAGAAGTGCTTATTTTTTGTGTTTGAATTCAAAATTATATGTGTATAAATATGTACATTTGTGCATACATATTTAAATGGAGAGGCTTGAAACAGACAGGCCAATTAGAAGGTTATTACAGTAGTCCAGATGAGAGATTATGAAAGCCTAAGCTAAGGTGATGGTGGTATGAATGGAGAGAAGGGGGAAAGTGTAAGATATATTATGGAAGTACAATTGATCAAACTTGACACCTGATTAGACAGAGAGGGTGAGGGAAGAGACCCTGATGACTGTGAGTTTATATGCTTGGGTTGTCAGTAGAATAGTGGTACCCTCAGTTAAATTAAATAGGGATGGTTAGAGGGATAGGTTTAGGTGAAAAGATAATGAATTGTATTTTGGACATGCTGAGTCTGAGATACCTAGCATAGTATAGAGGTTAGCCTTGGAGCCAGAAAGTGCTTGGTTCAGGTTCAGCCTTAGACATGTACTACTGTGTCATCCTGTGCAAGTCAATTAACCTCTCTCCAAAACTACAAGTTACAGAAAAGGTTGCCAACATGCATTCGTACAAGTGAGTTTTATCATACTAGAGTTCACTATGCCTTTGAAATCACAGGTCTAGACTCTTTGCCTAATAAATCCAGGAGAAGATACTGAGGAGGTGGAATACAGTAGGAGACTGGAGCTCAGAAGAGAGCAGATTCAGTTAAGTGAGATAGAAGCCAGATTACAAAGGATTGAGAAGTGAGTAAGGATAGGAGAAGTAGAAGTAATGAGTAAAACATTAATAGTGTCAACCAGGCCAAACCAGCTTCCAATCTGTGAATGACCTGAGCTAAACAGAGCAGGGTAGAGACAGGAGAGTCAGGAATCAAACAAGTTTAATTTCAAAGTAAAGGAAATGGTTTGCATGCAAGGACATATATGACAGCACCTCCCACCCCCCAGCACACACACACCCATGTTAGTGTGACTGAACCTTGATTTATATATTTGTGGCTAGACAAAAAGTCAAACATTGTAGTGTAGCAACGGTGGTAAGGCACAACAGCAACAGTGAAGCAAGATTCTGGTGACAGAAAAATCCATTCATAGCTGGGCTTCATGTCTGGGCCTGTTGGTGCTTTCCTGAGCTCCGGGACCCTCAGTTCTAGAAGGTGAATGCAAAGGATTGTTGTTATCCCAAGCTCAGGTCATAGCTTGCTTGGTGGTCCTTAGCTCTGGAAAACAGGGTGTCTTCTAATAATATCTTGACATTTTCCTCTTTTGGCCAAAGGAATGGGTTTTGAAAGAACCCTTACCCTTCTGGCCAGTAAAGGAGAATCAAATATAAGCCAAGGTTCCATGAGAGGCCACTTGGGCCGAGATGAGATTTTGCCCAGGGGGGTTAGTTCCTTGAGTGGACCTATCTGGAAAGTGTGTCCCAGGTATCATTGCTAGCCATTGTTTGCTTGCAAGCAGAAAAGAGAGAGGAGCCAAGAATGGAGAGAGAGAAAATGCCGATACAGGCTTGAATCAGGGCGTTGGTGGTTGGGCACGTAACAGAAGGGAAGAGGAGAAAAAACTAGGACGGAATACTCAGCCCTCAGGAGTCTTGAGACAGCTGTCTTGTCTGGGTGTAGGCAGCTTCTGGGTCCATACTAGATGAACCTTGAGGTCCCTGGAGGGTTCTGCTGTCTACTCAGAATCAAGGGCTTTCTTCAGATAATCCAGGAGTACACACCCACAAGTTTGACATCTGCGGGAATAGTCAGAAGGACCTGGTAGGGGCCTCTGAGTTTGTAGTCAGCATCCTTGGTTAAAGGTCTCTAAATGGCACATACAGATGTCCAGTTTCCCAGCCATGCAGGGCTTGGTTCAAACAATGCAATAAGGTTTTCTCACAGTTCCCATAATTGCATTAAGTCAGGTACAGATGAAACTACTTAGAGGGCTCTCAGTGGACTAGTTCTGAAAAGGGAGATTTACATGTCACCAAGGTAACGAAGAAAACTTAAATATAAATCGTGCAAAGCAATACAGTTGTCACCAGTGTTAACTAACATCAGATCTCCTTGAATCCTAATAACCCATTCTCCATGTCCATTTAACCAGCACCTTTTGCGTCTCAGATGTCTCATGTAGTTATCTAGTCCTTAGATATCTTTTCTTAGACAATAAGCTTTATTCTCAGGGCACTTCTAAAGGGGGCTCTGCTTTTCTGGTTCCAAACCTAGAGGTTCCTAGATAATTTTGACTTAATATAATTTAGTAAATTCACTTAAATTTGGTTCTTCAATCTTGAAACTTAGAGAATTTCAGTTTACATATCATTTGCTGTTTCTCTCCTTACCTAAGTCCTGTACCTGATATGAGAATATTTTAAAAATTTATGAAAGTCCAGCTGTAAAGTGAACTTTTCTGCTCATAATGGCCAAGATTTTCAAATGAAAAATTGCTATTATATATTATTATTATCTGTTTTATAACAAAATATACCTCATTGAATATTTAACAGTTTTCAGATATCCAATTTTTTGTCACATCCTTTTAAAAACCAAATTCATATTTAACGGCATCCAGATTAAAAGGTTGTTTTGTCTAACACATTTCTGCTACAATGGTCTCTCAAATTTAACAATATAAGAGAATTTAGAAATACAATAACATAAACAATATCATGTATTTATTTATTTTTAGGTTTTTTTGTGGTTTTGTGTGTGTGTGTGTGTGTGTGTGTGTGTGTGTGTGTGTTTGGGCAATTGGGGTTAAGTGACTTGCCCAGGGTCACACAGCTAGTTAAGTGTCAAGTGTTTGGTCTGAGGCCGGATTTGAACTCAGGTCATCCTGACTTCAGGGCCGGTGCTCTATCCACTGTGCCACCTAGCTGCCCCTAATATCATATATTTAAAATGTGAAACAAAACCAGGTGACATCAATTGAATTTCATAATTGTCACATATAAAAATCATTGGCATTTTGAAATCACTTTAGAGTTATCAGGTATAGAACAATTACATTTAATTAAAAAAAATAATGTAGTGCTTAGCATATTCCAGTCACTGTAAAGCATTTTACAATCATTATATTATTTTGATTTCACAACAATCCTGGGAGGTGGGTACCATTATTATTTTTCTCTTTACCCATCAGGAAACTGGGGCAAACAGAAATAACATAACTTGCCTAAGATTACACGGCTGATAAATTTCTGAAACTGGAATGTAACTCAAGTTTCCCTACATTTCTCCAGAATTTTTCTCCTAGTGCCTTTATTTGGAAATCTGATCTGAGATGAGAGAGATTAACAAGGAGAGGGAGAGGGTTTCTCACTGGGACAGTCACAGGGAATCTCTGAACAATCATTCAAGAAAGAGTTAACAAGAAGTTGTTATAAAGTGCTAACTGTTGACCTATTTTTTTTTCTTTCTTCACTCTGGGATTACTTCCAAACTGGTGTCTTCCTTCATTGCCCTAGAACAATGAAACTATTAATCTTGCCATTTACTTTTAAAACTTTTATAAAATCTAATCTTTATTTTTCCTTAAAACAAATTCTACAGAGTAGTATCCCAAAACTTACTAAGATATTTCAGAAGGGAGTGATTTCCTGGAATTACTCAAAGTCTTAGGAGTTCTCCCCTGCAGTCTCAAAGTGATTCATTTTAGAACTCCTTAATCTAGATGTTTTTGGCAGTTCTGCAAACTTTTATTATCTGACTTT